CGTGCTCGAGTACCTCACGGTTGAGGTGCTGGAGCTCGCGGGGGCAACGCGGCGCGCGACAACAAGAAGAGCCGCATCGCGCCGCGGCACATCTACCTCGCGTGCGGTTGGGACGAGGAACTCAACGGCATGCTCTGGGGGAGCGCGGCCACATCGCGGGCGGCGGTGAGCTGCCGCACATCCACAAGAAGCTCCTCCCCTCTCTCGACGACGTCGATGCGGAGAGATTTGCGCGGGCGGCGAGGGCGGCGCGGGCGGCGAGGGCGGCGAGGGCGACGCGGAAAAGGGCGGCGAACCTCTTCTTGCACCCACACCCGCCATACCACCCGCAGACTTCACGGATCACGCGTTCACGCCGGTCCGTGCACGACGGCCGCCTCGCCCTCAAGTACGACGAGCTCACCGACCTCGACTGCCTCGTCGCGACCCTGTCGGTGGACCCGGTCTAAGTCGCACGAGGAGTGACGACGACGCGGTGGAACCTTCCGGTAACCTTTCTCGGTCAAGTCGCACTGAGGAGTGGCGCTCGAGGACGTGGATCGTGGTGGCGCACTGCGAGAACGAGATCGAGGTCAAGTTCCCGATCATCGGCGACGCGGGCCGCTCCATCTCGACCGCGTACGGCATGATCGACCCGGGCAACAAGCCCTGCACCGTCTACAAGTACAAGCCGGAGCTGACCCCCGGGTCAATCAATCAAGGCCGGCAAGTCGCCGGCTAGGTCGCCGGCGAAGCGCAAGTCCATCCAAGTGTGGCTCAACGCCAAGGAGAGGAAGAAAGGGTTAGACGGCCAGAAAAACGGATCGCCCGCGCTCAGAGCGGTGACAAGAGTAATTCCATTCCTGCGACTACGATTTCTTCTTTGCTCTTAGCCCTTTTGAAAATGGTTGCCTCTGAAGCCGACCTGCTCGCGCGCCCCCGCACGGAGCTGCAGCTGCTCGCGAAGCAGCACGGCATCAAGGCGAACCGCAAGTCCGAGATCATCGCCAAGGAGGTGCACGCGCGGCTCACCCTGCTGGACACCTCCGTCCCCGGCGACGAGAGGCGCGACAAGGAGAACGCCTTCAAGGCGCGGCCGGCGCCCAAGAACGTGCTCGACTCGGCCGGCGACCTCGGCGTGCCGCGGGTGCAGAAAAAGAAGTCCACCCAGGTGAAGGAGTTCCGCCTCTCCGAGGGCAGGCGACGCTCCGCGCGCATCAGCCTCTCGACGATCTCGGCGCCGTCGCTCATCGAAGAGTCGCCTGCGCCGGTCGACGCCCCGCCGCCGCCCGCGCCGGAGGACGAGCAGCCGCCTCCTCCGATCGAGTCACCGGCCGTGCGCAAGGGGCGCAAGGGCGCGAGGACGCCGGGCTCCG